AGCAGTGTAAGACTAGAGGGAAGGCAGCTAGTCATCACCACCCACAGCCAACTCTTGGGCTACTCTTTTACCAACGAATAGTGGGATTGACCGTCACATTATAACGCCCCCACGGCTGAAAGGGCGAGAAGGTTTGGTGGGACGGGGATTCGAACCCGCGACCCGTAGATTGTGAGTCGAGCGCCCTAACCACCTGGCCATGCCGGGCTCGAGTAGAGACATGAACGTCAGTCTAAATTAACACCTAAGGACTCTCGTATGTTTTTAACACCTCAAGTAAACCAAAATGTCATATCCAAGAACAAGTTTAAAAATATACGTATAGGAACTGACCTGAACAGAAGGAAAATAGAAATGCAATAATCAAGAGCATAAAACGTCCTCTAATAATCAAAAATCCAGGAACTTCTCTCTATCTTTATTAATTTAACTTCAAAACATCTTTATCGTGATTTTCGTTATTAATCAAAAATGTAGAATAAAATAGCTTAAATTATTTTTTATTGTTGGATTCTCTCCAATATTATAATGTTTATTATTATTTAACCATTTCATGAGAAATATTAATCAATTAATCTAGCGCCACCTATGAAAATTGCTTGTAAATTGCCACGTGCTACTGTATGAATTTAATTTGAATAAAGTGAGCATTGTTTAATGCTGAAGAGCGTAAATATTTTATGACAGTTAACCACAGGCTATATAACACATCAGTTGCTCTTATGAAAGATACCATTTAATATGTTTCGTTCAACCGTGATACAAACTCGGAAGACTCGTGTTATTACTGCATATTACAGTAAACAACCTTAACTCTACCTATTACTCTGCAAAAAACTTGTGAATCTCGGAATCGTCTATACAAACAACTTGCAGCCACCGTTGATAGAAGATAACATGTTAAATAATTCCACGGAAAGAAATACACCCACTAAAACTAATGTGGTAACTATTCCACCTGGCCTTACCTTGACAAATGCAGAAAGACTCGCGCTGAATAAGGGACTTACATTTGTCCCCATTCGACCAAGCGTGAGTGAATTTCACTCAGAACGTGATTGCGAACTATTTTTTCGGTGCTTAAGGATCCAAGCCTATTTTAAAGCAACAAATCAAGTGAAACCAATAAAAACTGTCTTACAGAATATGATAGAAGTAGCACCGACATAAATGGTGAAACCACACAAACCAGTACCACTGAAGACCCCCTTTTTGCAACTTATAACACACTCTCAGCATATGTACCCCTTTCAGTGGGTCACTTCCACCACTTGATTAGTATATAGACAAATGTCGTACTGAGATCAACAAACTTAACTTCAAGCCACGAAACTCTAAGGACAACCTCACCTATGAAGAACGCAAAGCCTTGCAAAATATTCGTTCTAGAGATGCTATTGTTAACAAACCATCAGATAAAGGAGGAACTATGGTCGTATGGCGTAAGGATCTTTACTTTCATGAAGCGTCACGTCATTTGAGTGATTTACTATCGTACAAACCGCTTCGGGACGACCCATTACCGACATATCATGAAGTTATCACAAACATTTTCAACAAATTAATTGAGGAACTACCCACGTCTGCTAGAAATTTAATATTACTTATTTCTGACTGTAGAACTGGTGTTTTCTATTTAATTCCTAAAATTCATAAACCCAACAACCCTGGTAGACCCATTGTTTCTACCTGTAATGCTCCAACTGAACTTATCTCCAGTTCTTTAGATTCCGTAATGGATCCCCTAGTCCACTCACTCACCACTTATATTAAGGCCACTTATTATGCCCTTAGACTCTTCAACACAGTTACTTTTAACTCCAAACCAGACCCGGTCCTTATATTTGATATGGACATCAAATCATTATACACCGTAATTCCACAACAGGAGGGTTTAATAGCCTTAAGACACTCTTTTGACAAACGTAATGACCTTCACCTCCCACTAATACTTTGATCCGTTTAGCAGAACTAGTTTTAAAATACAGTGGGTTCTGTTTTAACAATGAATTCTATGAACAGGTTAGCGGCTTAGCTATGGGAACTAAAATGGGCCCCAATTTTGCAAACCTTTTTGTTGGATATATCGAAGAACACATGTTTACATAGTATGATGGTCCCTTACTCTTACTTTACAAGAAATATATCGATAACGTTGTTGGAACATTCACGGGCACCTTCTGATTCATCGCTACCATTCTTGGATATTCTTCTTTCTATATCTTCTGATAACATAACAACCAGTGTTCATTATAAACCTACAGACACTCACAATTATTTGCACTTTAATTCTAACCACTCCACATATATGAAAAAAGAACATCCTAAAATCCAGTTCATTAGACTACGGAAACTGTGGAGTGAACCTGATGATTTCAATGTCCGCTCAACAGAATTGGAATCATTTTTTATGATCGTGACTACCCCAAAAACGTTCTGAAAAAACTCGCAACTATGCTCCTCATCTCTCACGGAAGCGAACTCTAAAATCTCCTGTACCGGACCGTTCATTACCCTCACATACCACACACACAGACAACAAACAAGTTAAAGACATTATTCTAAATAATTTTCATATTTTAAAGGAATCTAACACCACTAAACATGTTTTTCCAAGACCTTCTATAATTTCCTTCCGTCAAGATACCAATATTGGAAACTACATAGTTCATAGTAGCCTTAAAAACACCCACCTCAACAGACACACACATTTTATTATAGGTAGCTATCCTTGTATAATAAAAAACGCTGTAACACACGTGTTTAGATTGACTCAAGAACATCCGTGCAGGGTCCTAAGTCGAGTTTTTACATTAAGGATCAATTTAACTGTACATCAAAAATAAGTCATATATTCTATGATCGTTGCGGAAAATTATACATAGGAGAAACCAGTAGAGTATTAGTAGAACGTACCCGAGAACATCTCAGAGACATAATAAATTATAATGCAGATAAACCAGTGGCCTGACACTTCAACTTGCACAACCATACCCTTTGCCATTTTAAAATTCTTGTTTTGAAGAAGACCCCTACAAACAAAAATAACCGCGAAGTACAAGAAAACAAAATAATTTTTGACCTGGGAACTTTCCATCTCGATGGGCTATATGAACGTTTTAGCTTTTTCTAATATTTCCCATTTTATCCTTTCTTAAAAAGTTTTATACAGTAAATTATGTATCTATTCTTTTTAAACTATAATGCATATATATTCACATACGTATGTGCGTGCGTGCGCGCATGTGTTTGTGTATATATGTATTTGTATAATCATTTATGTGTATTTATTTGGGTGTATCTATGTATATATATATATATATATATATAGATGTATAGATATGTGTGTGCGCGCACTTGTATGTATATATATATATATATATTTATCACTTTCTATTGTTTCAATTCTTTGTAAACATTGTTATACACGCATATTTGTTACATTGTCACGTCACGTGACCATCGATTTAGAATGTTTTCGTTTACAGATTTACTGTTCAGTTAGTGATATCTGAAGAAGGGCATTGCCTGAAACGTTGTATCCACAATTAGATATATTATATATATATTAACTCCTTAGTGGTTTGACCTATAGCATACTTCTATTTATTTTTTTCAATAAACAACTACGCGTAATTTCCTACGCTGATTAATTGTAAACCAGTATAACTCGCTGATTGCCTACAACTTTGGATCGAAACTTCGATATTTTTGCTGCAAAGTTGTTTTTCACTCTTCATTAACATTAGATATACACATTTTTTGATACTGTCCAAAACATCTTAGTCAGAACTTCACTAAACTTGAAAATAAATACTTTTAGGGAAAAAATAGTCAAGTTCAATTTACACGTCAACTATGTACTACATATTGTTGTCAGTACCTACCTAGAACATCAGGTAGAAAAGATTCTAGACTATTTTGTCTTTCGCTACCACTAGAGGGCTGTCTAATATTCTTCTCGGTAGGTGGCGCTTGGATATCTGAAGGTTCAGGTGTAGATGGCTGACAGGGTTTAGTACGAGGTCGATGCATGAGCGGTATTGAATCAGTTTTGTCTTCCGTAGGTTTGATTTCATCTACCATCTTCACGTCATTTGTGACGTTATCATAGTGCTTGTAGTTTCCACTTACGTCTAGTGCCAGGTCAGACTCAGATTCTACCTAAAACAAAAAAGAAAATAAATCATTTGCACAAACAGAATTGTTTGACTGTTTCAGGATTTTGCACAAAACAACGCAAGGGTTATCTGTGCAAAACTGTCCCGATTTCCTCTACACTTGTGTTTCTACAACAGGCAGTTGCCGTCCATTCAACTAAATTTCATTATGAATACTCTACTTAAACAATCTATCACAGAAATACAAAGAAAATGATATAAAGATAGAAGATTAGAAGGACTTAGAGGTAGCGAGGTTACACAGGTCTAGGGATGAGGATGTAGAAAAGTATAGAGAGCAGAAAGATAGAGAAAAATGAGGATCTTACAATGCAAGCTGGTAATGAGGAATGTAGAGAAAATAGTGTGAGTAACAGTTGAGAAAAGTAAGAAAGGAAACTGAGAACTGTCAAATGATGAGCGTGCTATAGCTTGACAAGAACAAAGCTAATTTGTTTTTTGTTAATTTGATTTAAAAATAATTATTTCCTAGGAAATTATTGCTAATCAAGGGTGCTCGAAGATTAGCAATCCTCCTTCATCCTGCTCGAGTTATAAGGTTAGGTTTCAACTAATGGTCAGCGGATTAATGAGCCGTATGGGCGAAAAATAATTAATTAATTTACATATATATATATTCCTGTATATATACATATGATGATGAGGCATGCAGGCAGAAGTGAAGGCAAGTTCAAGGCGTAGCAGAGACCGGTTGATCTTGAAGAAGGAGTTAGTCGGCAGCCGTTTTTTTACAAGTTATCGAAACAACATGAAGCAAACGGGATTTTACGGGGCCTGGCAGGGACCAGTGGATCCAATTGCCTAGGCTGGGATCTATAGATCCAATGCCAAAGAATTTGATGTGGGGGGGGGGGGCGAAGTACCCCGAGAAAACCCACTTTCACTGGTCGGGACCGAATAGAAGCCAGGTACTAGATACGTATAAGCTCAAAACTGATAAACTTCACTGTCAGTTTTATTGCCTGTATGCATAGAATATTACTGTTAAGTGGTAGAAGATGTAGTATCATGTCGCTTTCTAACTCGATTTTCATCTCAAAATTTAAATAGCATAAAATACAAGCTTTAAGAGTGAACATAAGAATAAATCAGTAACACATTGGGGTAGAAAAAAATATGGGATACCTGAACAGTAAAGAACATTTGTAAACGTGAACTTTAAGTTATATCGTAAATGTTTATTCTGCCGAGTAAAGACTATGTGTAATACATATTTATACAGTGAATATTCCAGACATGGTCATTTATTTGCAATAAAAAAATTTTGTTGATTAACATATTCCAAAAACTGATCTCTCGGTGGGACAGCGGTAAGCTAATGGACTTACAACGCTAAAATACGGGATTTAATTACTCGCGACCAACACTGCAGATAGCCAGCCCAATGTGGCTTTGCTCTAAAATAACAAGCAAACAAATAATCCATAAACGCCACACTATTTGATGGAGAATAAGTGCCTTACAGTCTTGGTAGGCGAAAGTAATGTTTACCTAATATGTTATTGCTGAAATTGCCTGTTAAGGATGGTGAACGAACAAAAATTTTTTTAAAAAATAAATTAAAAAGGCGGTTATTAAGTTTTACTTAACACACGGCTACTGCATTGATAGTTATCATTCCAGGGACGTTCAAACTGCTGAAATAAA